GTATCGAAGAGGCTTGTGAATACAAGAAGTATCTCCTTTCCTTTTAGCCCAGCGCCATGAAATGGAAACTACTGTTGTCCTCTGCTTCCAGATAAACACACAGTGTATGCAATCTGTTCAGGTGTTGTATACAACCATTTTGTGAAAATAATACAAAAGAGGAAGGAATACACTGAGAGTTCCCCATTTCAAATCCTACACTGCTTCCCCTGCTTGCCCTTCATTCTTTCTCCACCCTTGTCTCACAAATCCCTCTGAGGTTTTTTTTTTTTTTTTTACCTTATTTATTTGAAAGATTAAAAAAAAAAAAGGCAGAGAAACGGACAAAGCTATTCTCTGGGTTACTTCGCAAACGCATGCAATGGCAGGGATTATGCTGCAGGTGAAACCAAAAACCAGAAACTCAACCAAGAGGTCATGACCACTGCCTCCCAGGCTTGCATTGGCAGGAAGCTGCAGTGAGGAGCCAGAGCTGGGCCCCACTCTCAGTGTGAGATGTGAGTCCCCAGGCCACCTGCCCACTCCCTGCTTTGAGAACTTGATGAGCTCTGTGGCTCTCAGCCCTTAGAGGAACATTTGGCCTGGGCACAAATACCCTCCTCAGAATATTCAGATGTCAAACACAGACTTCAAGTCCACATATTCTGTTCTAATCTACCATCTCTCCACTACTTAAAAAAAAAAAAACTTTTTATTGTTGTTATTTTCCATGACACTGTTTTGTAATTATAGGGCTTCCTCCCTTTTCCACCGTCTTCTCCCTCCCATTCCCCACTCCTCCCCATTTTCCCCTGTGTTGTTACAATAATATAGCTCTTCAACTGCAGTCACAATTCCAACATTCTATTATTTACATGTATCATGACTGTAAGTATAGGTAACAAAAGAAAAATCTAGCATCAGATTGTCAACATGCATTTAACAGTTTCATGGGGGTCCTATACCACTTCTTAATTCCTTAACATATATATATGCATATATATATGTATTTGTTTACCTATATATCTACTGATCTTGTATTTTGCATGAAGCTTGTCTTATATCAGAGAGAACATATGGTATCTGTCCTTTTGAGATTGGCTTATTTCACTGAACATAATGGTCTCCAGTTGGAACCATTTGGTTGCAAATGGTAAGATTTCTTTTTTGGTGGCTAAACAGTATTCCATCAAGTCATTTTACCAGAGGGTCTTTTTTTTTCCCCCATTCCTCGTTTGATGGGCATCTGTGTTGTTTCCATGCATTTGCTATTATGGGTTGTGCTGCTACGAATATATGGATGCAGGTTGCTTTCTCATATGCAGATTTTACTTCATTTGGGTATATTTCCAGGAATGAGATTGCTGGGTCAAATGATAGATCAATTTTCAGGTATCTGACCACTTTACATACTGATTGACGCAGTAGCTGCACTAGTCTCTATTTACACGAGCAGTGTTTTCTCCACTATTTCCCGTGTTTGCTCTAATATGGTTACATGGGACATGCCAAGGTGGCTCGGCATGGTGCTGACACAAGTAGCACCATGCAATCTGTCAACTGCATAATGTACCTGACATCAAGGGCATCATGTAATTTACCAGGAGCTCAGGGCTGAAGGGCAGCAATTCATATTCCTCTCTTGTTTAGCCCACATTTTGATTCTAAAGGACCTCTACATGGAACACCACTCTCTCTCCAGCCTTTTAGGGCTGTAACAGAAGCTGGACTTTACTGGTGTAGCCTGATTGGACAATGCCATATCTTGCTACTTCTTGGTTAATGATGGATGCTGGAAGAAACAATATCAAAATCTCAGATATTACAACCGTTGATTTTGGGGGAAATTTGGGGAGTCCCCTACTAAGCTGCAGCTCCCACTGATGAGCATGAGAGCAGGGCTGAGGTCAGCCCAGGCCAGGCTGGGCTGCAATACCCATCAGTTTCCATGAGAGGAAGGGCTGTGGGTGGAACTGATCAGGCAGCTACATCTGTGGTATGCATGTTGGCTGGTGAAAGTGACAGACCAATTCTGACTGGTTGACACACACAAGGGTCAAATCTGAAGTCAAAACCCAGGTAAGGTTTATCGGGGACTTCTCAACAATATGGCAAGATTCAGGCCCCGGCCACAGGGGAAACCACAATATATGTGGTCTGATCTTAGAGTGCATGTATTGGGACTAGACCTTCTCAGTTGCTGATGCCTGTGTGTGGAAGGCTGCCCAGATGCTCACAGGGGATATGAAAGTCAGCTCATCTAGGGCAGCAGGGGACATTGACTGCCTCATCAGAGGATGGCAAGCAGAACAGGTTGAACCACTCTCCTGGCCAAGCTTTGCAGCATGTTCCTGGGTCTGTGGGTGCACCAAGGCAGACTTTGTTAGCTAATAGACCTTACAAATATCTTCTCAATGCCGGTGCACTGAAGCCGACAACATCTCAGAAGTGTCAAAATCACTCAAGTAACACCCTCGAAATACCCTTTTCCACACCACAGTCTCCGATGAAGCTGCCGTTCTTTTTCATTAGCACTGTTGGGAACCCAGCCAACTAACTTATATGCCAAATAAGTTTAAAGTGGGATGTATTTACTCACACACCCTTGAATGTAAAGTGGCAGTTGGTTTCTGGCTAAACATTTCAGGGTGCTAGTGATGCCATCAGCCTGTCTCCAATTGAGAGTGTGTGTTCTGTCTGTAGCAGCTACGATAGCTACCTGTATCCTAGCAGAACAGTTGACTGTAAATCAACATAGCCGGACATAATTTTTCACAGTTTTGGCAGAAGGATTTCACAGGATGCTGATTGATGCCTTTGGTGAGCACGTGTTTTGGCACTTTGGAGTAGTTGCAGCGTGCTGCTAGTTCACTGATACGAACCAGTCCTAAATCACAGACTTTTATCTGTGGTGGAGACAGAAGGGACAACTCTATACAAGCTACCTGGAGTACCTGTGTGATACAAATATTAAGAAAGAAGAGCAAGATGGATAAACCTTGAATAGATTACTACTCAATCCAAAAGGTTGTCTTTCCATGAAAAATAAGGGGAGGCAAAATTCTGTATTGAAACGGATATCATGGAGCAGCTGTTTAGCTTGTCCCACTTCAGAGACCTGAGTTCAGTTATAGTCCCTCCAGCTTCCACCAAGGCAAACCCCAGGAGGCACTGACTGCTTGTGCTTCTGAAGCCCACGGGGGAGGACTCAACTGAGTTCCCGATCCTAGTTCCATCGCAGTCCCAGCAACAACCCTTGTGGGCATTTGGGGAGAGACTCGATGGAGGGAAGATTCTGTGTTCGGGTGTGTGTGTGTGTGCGTACATGCACACGTAAGTATGTCTATCTCTGTATCTTTGTTTCCTACCACACCTCCCTCTGCCTCTCCAAAAAAAAAAAAAAAAAAAGGTTCAGCATAATTAAACAGTAAGTTTACAGAAACTTAAAGTTGTCTCTTATTTAAGGATCTCTTACTATGCAACACAGAAATCCTTCATCACACCTTTGGTATCACGGAAGTCCATTAGATGTGTTATTCATCATGAGTGCCTCACCATTCTTTAACATTCTTTATAACATTTTTAGCACTGAAACCTGTATGGATCCTACATTGCAGGAGACGCGCTGGCATAGAACCATACATACAGGAGTTTAGATCCTTATCAGAGCAATTTAATTGTCCTCATCATTTGCCTGGGTAAAAATGAAAAGCTGTGATGAAGTGGGAAGGTTAAATGAAACAAGAAAACCAGCAGCAAACTGGTATTAGTTATAACAGAATATTTACTTTAAAATATTTTAACTTCATGCTAGCTGTTTCTTAAAAATATTTATTCAAAAGGTAGAGTGCAGAAAGAGAGAGAGAGAGGGGAAAGATACATAGAGAAAAATTTCCCATTTGTTCATTCGTTCAAATGACTGTTCTAGCAGGAACTGGGTTAGGCAGAATCAAGTAGCTTAGGCCTCCATGTGGTTTCCAAGGTGGATGGCAGGAGTCTTAGCACTAAGCCATTTCCTCTTTCTTCCTTACACATTAGCAGGCGGTTGGATTGGGAAGCAGAGCAGCCAGGACTTAAAACCGGTGTTCCAGTGCGGGATCCAACGTTACAAGTGTCCTCTTAATCCACTGCACCACTACAATAGCTCTGAATTCTTATTTTATATAGTGTGTGCTTTTTTATTTTTTTCAATATGTGGTTTCTACTTTCTGAAATCAGTTCCAGCAAGTAATGGCACTAACATTTAATGAGAGATAGCCTCATTTCTTAGGGAAGGCTTAAAGTTTCTTTGCTTTTTAGATTTTTATTTTATTTTTATTGGAAAGTCAGATACACAGAGAGGAGGCGAGATAGAGAGGAGGATCATTCTCCAAGCGGCTGCAATGCCTAGACTTGAGCCAGGAACTTCTTCCAGGTCTCCCATGCAGGAGCAGGGTCCCAAGGCCCTGGGCCATCCTCAACTGCTCTCCCAGGCCACAAGCAGGGAGCTGGATGGGAAGCAGGGACACCAGGATTAGAAGCAGTGACTACAGGGGATCCCAGCACATACAAAGCCAGGACTTAGCCACCAGGCTACCGTACCGGGCCCAGTTTGATTGTTGGGTTTTTTTCTTTTTTTAAGATTTATTTATTAGAAAGGCAGATATACAGAGAGATGGAGAGACACAGAGAGAAGGATCTTCTGTCCACTGATTCACTGCCCAAGTGGCTGCAACGGCAAATACTGAGCCAATCCAAAGCCAGGATCCCAGGTCTCCCACACAAGTGCAAGCTTTGAACCATCCTCAACTGCTTTCCCAGGCCACAAGCAGGGAGCTAGATGAAGTGGAATAGCCAGGACACAAACCAGGACCCATATGGGATCCCAACGATTGTAAAGTGAGGACTTCAGCCACTAGGCTACTGTGTTGGGCCTGGGAAGGTTTAGAGTTTATCATTAAATCAAAGATAACATAATTAAATTTGAGCTATTTTTATTTTCTTTTCTCTCTCTCCTCCTTTTTTTTTTTTCTGTCAAAAGTTTCTGTTTTGGTCCAGCAATTAAAAGAAGCTGATCAAGCATGGCTCTAGCAGATAAGAGACTTGAGAACTTGCAGATCTACAAAGTTCTTCAGTGTGTTCGGAACAAAGACAAGGAGCAGATAGAGAAGCTCATCAAATTTGGATACCCTGAACTAGTCAATTTCACAGAGCCCGTCCACGGGATCAGTGCTCTGCACCTGGCCTCCGTCTCCAACGACATTGACATGGTCAGCTTTCTCCTGGAGCTGGGTGCTCATCCTGACGTTCAAGACCGAATGGGCTGCACCCCAACCATGAGAGCGGCAGAACTGGGCCATGAACTGTCCATGGAAATATTAGCCAAGGCCAAGGCGGATATGACTATAGTGGATAATGAAGGAAAAGGTAAACATCCCAACATCCTAGCCAGGAGAATGTCATTCATTTTACAGCCATAAGCAAGATCTTTCTCTGCAGCTTGGGATATGAAATACTTCGTGTGTTAAGTTAAAGCCTAGATTCTCGTTCCTCTACCTAAGCATGTCACCTCCTCAGAATCTGAAAATACTGTAAGGTATATCTTAGGGAAACATGCTCTGTGACCTTATTTGCTTAGAAGAAAATTAGAATAAAATTAATTGCTGGCGGCTTCTTTTTAAAATAAGGAATTTTCAAGATTGCCCACTCGAATATTACCATATTCAGGATCATCCATTATAAGATGTGGAATCTTTCTCGTAGCAAAAGGGGGAAAACCTTTCTACTTCTTAAATTTTACATTTTAGAACTTTTGGTTGTCAATCTAGGACTCCAGAGGGATTTTGTTCCTTCCCTATCGCAGTCTGATGTAGAAAGGAGTTGCATTTTTCTACAAGTTTAGGAAGTAGTGTTTGGTATACACTCCGACTTTCTGAGCTCATTTTTTAAAATGTATTTAGAAAGATGACTTGAAACTCTAGACATGACATTTTGTCGATTATTCAGATGAGACGGCTCTGCTCGCATATCATCTGCCCCTCCCCACTCCCATCATGGTCTGATCGTTTCTTTCCCGAAAAAGTTGAGATTGATACACCCTCAGGAAAACCACAGATAGTTACCACCAGGCTTAATATTAATTAGAGTTTAGTCATTTGTCCTAAAGAGCTAGTCGTTCCCAGTACCAAGCCATTAATATTAGTCTCACTTTGGAGAAATGAATTCCATTTATCATGCTAATTTTTTCTGGAAGCAGCAAAATCTACCTTTGTATCTCTCTGCAAAACTTGGTATTTGATAGATGATTTGCTTAAAGCAAGAGGAAGAGACAAAAGGAAGAATTATTTAATAGAAAAGAAACAGAATAAAATAAACTTCAGCTGCGTTGAGGAATCAACGGAGTTATAAAAATGTTAAATCCTGAAAAAACAGAAGCCTCGTGCAACTCAGTGTGTTCTGTGGAACACGGAGTCGCTGGGATACAAGAGCTCCAGGCAGAAAAGGCTCCCTGACTGAATTCATTCGAGAAACATCCCAGGAAACCAATTTAAACATGTGTCTTTAAAGACAGTGATATTTTTCCAAATCTATGTGACCTTAAAATGGTTTTTCCTGTGGCATCTCACAAGCTAAGAGTGAATGGCACGCACATTGAGAAGCACTGTCACACAGAGAATGCTTTGCTTTTTCTGTTTTGAAACATACAAATCGCGCACACACGCACAGAAAACCACTAATATATTTTGTAGTATAAAATCTAAAACTGTGCAATTTTGCAAAATCAAGGTAAAATTGGAAACAAGATCAGGTGAATATTTGTAGTTAATGCAACAGCAATACAATTGATGTCTGTGTCCATTCAAGTTAACATTAAAACCCATCAAGGATCCAGAAGATGAACATAAAATAAAGCAATTATCCAAATCACCCTAGAAGAATTGAAAATACAAAACTTGAAACAACTATAAAATCTTGTTTCTGCCATAGCCTGAGTAGTGCTACTGCCTGTTAATTTTGCCTTCATGTCCTTCATGGCGAAGTGCCATTTCTCTAGCCCACTCCATGCGCCCAGGTCATGTTGCACACCCCTCAGTTGGACAGTCACATTCTGAACTACTCTTACCCCACAGAAGTCTTTGCCATTAACATACTATTTCTTAATGACTGATGTTTGACTCTGCACACTGTTTCCAAAGGATAACAAAACATATAAATGACTAAATGGGTATTTAGAAGGACTGGAAACACCTTCTTCTTGAAAAATTTTGCGAAATAGTAACAAAAGAAGTCTTCAAGCTAATACCACCCTACATGTTGTCCCAAGAGATTAATTATGGGTGTCTAGAACCATTTCTTTGTTCTCTCAGTCACAGAAATGCATACCCAGCCCCAAATACAGGATACTTGTTCTGCTCTTATAACATTATTTCCTTCATCTTTTCCCTTCCATTTTAAAAAGCTGATGCATGTTCTTTGTAAGAGTTAGCTCAAATAGATAATTGAGTTATACACAATATCAAAAAATACCCATTTCATGATGGCCTTTAGGACTTCTGTAATGACTTGTACCTAGATTTATTGTCATTTTGTTATTATGTCTTACTCTTTGTCATTGAATTCGCAACTATGCCTTGGCATTCCCTTTTACAAGCTATCCTCAGTAATCCTCTTTCAGTTGCGTTAGTTTATGAGAAACATATTGAGATTTTGATTTTCATGTAAATTACATTTTTATAGTTAATGATACAATCTATTCAATTGATCTCAATTTCCAGTAGGTTTGGCATCATATTAAAAAACATGTACTGCAAGGGCATAATATGTATAATAAATACAAATATGTTTTTTAAGCTCCCCATGATACAAGTATGTTTTCATCAATATTCACATACTTTGCTATATATTTCTCTCTAGCCTCATTGTTCAAAAATTATATTTTACTCTTTAATCATAACAGTTTCATATGTGCTTGGCTTCTATTTATAGAGATAACACACAGCATTCATTGATTTTTTTTAAACTGTGAAAGATGAGATGAATACAGCAAGACCATTCCTCTCAGCCATTCCACCTCTTTGTAGCAACCAACTTCATAGTAAATTATTCCCAACTTTACAGTGAATTATAATTCCTTGTTCTGTCAACAGTTCCCTTCATAATTTTAAATGATAAATCTGCAGCATTTACTTTATCTCTTTATTTGCTTTCAATGATAACTCAGTCTCCAACAACAAAAGATGAGAAAATCAAATGCCTACACCGTTTGTGCTTCCCTCCTTTCAATCAGGATTTTTGTTCAGTTATAAGGAATTGCAACATTCTTTGCCTTATCTAGAATTTCCAAGGTGACTTGCACATTCATTCCGTAGTTGAAAAGATTAAGCACCCATCACAATTATTTTTATTCATACATTTTCTATTTTTCATGGTAGACTCATTTTTTGTACAGAGTTGTTTAACTCACTCTCTTGGGCTCATATCCCTGATTTCTTGAATTCTTAAAATTACTTGTGCCTGTTGCTTTTCTATATAAACACAAGTTTGATGGGGTATACAAATTTTCCATTTTCTTCCGGAGGTGTCCTTTAAGTGTCTTCCAGTGAATTGTTGAGCTCTCTGATCTTTTCTCTTTAAAAATGAGCTGAATTTTTGCCTGAAAAAAAAAAAATCACGACACCTTTTTCTGGCTAGCTTTACTGAGGCATTTCTCGCTGATTGTAAGCAACTTTTCTGAGACCCACTGTGCCCCTGCAGAGTCCAGATTCAGGCATTTGCTTCAAGAAAATTTTCTTCTTGTATGTCTAAATCTAGGCTTATTTTTTCTGTCCCATTTAGGCTTTTATTTTGAATATCAATTATATACAAGGTGAGACTTCTCTGCTACTTGAGACTATTAATCCCTTTCATCATTTGAGTTATATTTTGCTCAAAAATATTAGTTTATTTTTCTAGATTTAAGTTTGACTTTCGTTTCTTCTTTTTTTTTTTATTCTTTTCTCCATTTCTTTCCTAAGTTTGGCTGTCTAAATTTCACCTTTTTAATTCAGTTTATCTTTTCTTGTCCTGACAGTACTGTCTTGAGCTCTCAGTCATTGCCCTTTTATTCTAGAACCAGGTATTTATAAGATTGTTTTCATAAAATCAAGTAAATATTTTCTTTCCATGACTTTTTCTAGTACATGCTTTTTGCCTCGCTTTCATTATCAGTTTACATAACTTTTTTTTTAAAAAAGCATCTTTCTCATAGGCCATATGCTGGTTTCTCCTTGGTTTAATTGTTGTTTACCTAGGTCTTTCCTACCAACACTGTGCCCTAGGATTATAACATCCCTCACCCCTGGAACATTTTTGGCATAGAGTAAAGGGCCTGGGTGTAGTGGCTCATCAGGTTCCTGTCTTCATTGGGACCTAACGAGTGCCAAAATGGCAGAGCTACCGTCTTGTAGTTTTTCCTCTCGATGTCACTATAGTGACCACCTGCTTTCCTTCACACAAGGCCACTCTGCACATGAGTCTATACTGCTAACTATTCTGCCATGCTGCAGTTCGAGAGGATCCAGGGTCCAGCCAGTAGCCTCCGGCACACACACACCTGCACATTCCAAGAACAAACATTTTGTAGTATGGGGTCCACAAGGGCTCAGCTAACAATTTGCACTCCATCTCCTTCCTCAACCAAGTCCCATCACATTTAACTGTGAGCGTTTTCTGTTTCCTAACAGAGATTTTTTTTTTCTGTCGTGGCATTTTGGTTATTTCAGAAGGAAACTCAACACAGATAATACGCCTTTTTGTTAGTGTCCTTAAGTAGCTAAAATAGACTTTTAAATTATGTTTTATCCTTCCTATAAGTTTCAAATATATAGAGACTAATTTAACGCTTTGGGGGGGGGTTGTATTTTTCTGCAGGTGTTTTGTTTTACTGCATTTTGCCTACCAAGCGGCATTATCGCTGTGCTCTGATTGCACTTGAACATGGTGCAGATGTCAATAATTCTACCTATGAAGGAAAGCCAGTATTCCTTAGAGCATGTGAAGAAGCACATGATGTTAAGGAAATGTGCCTGACGTTTTTGGAGAAAGGAGCCAACCCAAATGCTATCAATTCCGTATGAATATTCCTGTGATATTATTTCTGCTTTCAATTGCAAGTCGTTGGTATAATTTTTGGCATGGAAGTATGATAAATTATCCTGCTAGCGTATAGATTTTTTTTTCATTTCTACCTAAAATTCCTGAACTGAACATACCTTGATTATGTTTATATTTCCATGATTCTACATCCCATTGCCTACTTAGGTTTGGAAAACTGATATCTATTGTATATAATGTAAAAATATTATAGTGAATAACAGAAAAAGAATACCCACTATAAAAATATCTGTTTAGAGAGCACACACTTCTCCCATTTATCTTGTTTCCTTCCGCACTCATTTGACTAATACTGGTTTTTCTTAAGATAGATACTTCTGGATGCTACAATTAAATTTTCTTCCATTACAAAAGCCCATCACTAAACTTTAGCACTCTTTGTTTACCCACTTTACTCTGCTTTATTTTGCAAGAACTAACTTTATTTTAGCTTCACATTGTCACAAGGGCATCCAGTGTAACCTAGATTCTGATTTGAAAAATTTTTATTTTGGACACTGATCCACTATACTGGCTGAATTTTTCCTCTTTGTAACATGAAATTACAAAAGAAAGCAGAAAACGAACGCATTACTGTAAAGTCAAGTGAAAGGGATTCAACCATACTTATGCTGAGTGTGCTACTTAATAAGACAGGTATAACATGGTTGAATTTTATTGAATTTGCTTCGCATACAGTCCACAGGTCGCACAGCTTTAATGGAAGCATCGAGAGAGGGAGTACTGGAAATAGTTCGGGGAATCCTGGAAAGAGGAGGCGAAGTGAATACATTTGACAACGAAAGACATCATGCTGCTCATTTTGCTGCCAAAGGAGGTTTTTTTGATGTAATAATCAGCTCTTTGCTTAGAAATTTGTTGCTAAAACTATTTTCTCCTTTTTCTCAAAGATGTCTGTTTTATAGGATATTCTAAGATAATTTTTTCATGAGTTAGGTATGTTGTTTCCAGTCAGATTCTCTTTCAGAATCCTAAAATTACATCTTTAAAAACATATTTCAATTCTTATTCAATTGTATCTATGTGCTTAAAGATTCACTTACTAATGGGATAATGATGACTCCTTCCCAATGGGACTATCCCATTGTAAGCCTCCATTATGTACTAGGAGTCAGACAATGTGCTCTGACCCCACCGAGGAAGAACAGGGCCCTATGTGCTTCTCTATGGTGGCTAGGTACACCTAATGTTAGACCTCAATTTTAAACTGCAATTATTCAGATTATCCAGACATATCTTTAGCAAAAGACACCTGATAGATGAAGGGATCTGGCAGAAACAAAATAAGACTCAGTGCTGTCTTACTTATCAAATTCTACATTTTATTTAAAACTTCTTTACTGCATTTTCTTTGCCTTTTAGCACTTCATTCTCTCACTGAGACTCTTTTCTATAAAAACAGCACATTTAACAATAGAAGCCATATTTGGTCCAAAAAAGATTACTCCTTTCATGTTCTCTGCCATATTTTGATGCTTTCTTAAATTGCCTACACTTACCAAAACGATAATTCCCTGGTGAGAATGGAATTTTCTATCGACTGTTGCTGTTTGATAAAAAATTGAGTGACAATGAAAATGAGCTGTGCGACATAGTATAGCGTAGTAGCTAGAAGCCTTTTTCAGTATTTTAAGTGTAGTGAAACTAAGGGTCTAAACTCTGGTTTTTTTCAATTTGCTTAATTTCCATTTTAATTGTCAATAGCCATGGGTGTCTAATTTGGTACTACACTATACAGAGCAGATCTAAGTACCATTCTTCATTTGTTTCTTATTCCTCTCCCATATGCACTATTCATTTTGCAGATACTGAGGCTTCTTTTTGCCTACAATGGAGACATGGGGCTGATTGCAATGAATGGCAACACACCACTTCATTACGCGGCCATGGGTGGCTTTGCAGATTGCTGTAAATACATAGCTCAGAGAGGTAAAACTGCCTAGAAATTCTGTGTTTAAAGACCTTACGGTTTTCTCATGTCATGGCTGAGCAGAGACTTTGGATATGGAACTCGTCAGCTGCTTGTCTTTTGTAATAGCAAAACCTAACTCTGATGCAGAAGGAAAATTTGAAGTTTTTTCTTATTTTTTTTCTATCAAATCACCAATCTGGTATTTAAAAAGACCAGTGCTTCATAATGTTTACATTGTTAAAAACCAAAAGTAGATTGTTAATTTGTCAGCCAAGTCTGAAAATGCTTATAATTCATAAATTGCTTTTCTTTTAGATCTATCAACATCAACCAAAAGAGTGATAAACATTAAAAATGTTTTCCTTTAGGCTGAATTTTTATTGTATGTTTAAAAAAATGTTCTGTTATTCCAAACATATTTTCTGGATAGTTTTCAACTCTTAGAGGAAATAAGTTAGTGAGGCAAACAGATAAAAAAACATAAATTTTTATGGAAAATTTAAAATGTGATTTCTTGTGACTTTTAAGTAACTTATTAGGGGTAATAGGTTCCTTAAAATAACAACATTAGTAATTAAAGATGGGGATTAATTTATTGTTAATTCCATACTAATTTTCTCTTTATTATAAATGGAACTGCATTTTGTAAAAGAAAAAATTTCTAGTTTCTGAGAAATAGACAAAACCTTAAAGTCCAACAACTCTACAGTAGAGCCAAGAACCAAGCATAGAATTTCAGAAGTCACTAGAACCTGAAGATACTAGACTGTAAACATTCATGTTATAAGTAAAATCACTCACACACATAACTTAGTCATTGGTTGGTCCATTTTTACTTTTTCTAAGTTCATGCTTTTTTCATCTCCACCAATAATAATACTTTTTTTTAACACACAAGGAAAGAAAAATATATCAAATGCAATATTTTTATTCAAAATGTCTTAATTGATTTGTTTTCATATCTGTCACTATACAACCATAGATGTATATAATTACATATAACTAGATGCATATAAGTATAAATGAACCATGTATTCATGAGCTCTCACAAGGTGATCTTTTTCATTCTAACATAAGTATTTCCACATGTGGTGTTCCAGTGTTTATGCATACCTGAGATAGTCAAAGAAGCCCATTCAAAAAGCAAGGGGCCAGGGCTTGGGACATGCCAGCTGGGTCCAACACCCAATTCAACAGAAATCTCAAAACTCCTTCTGGAAGGATCCTAACATTACAATCTAAAGCAAAGGTGCGAAAATGCTCTGAGTTCTGCAGGATAGTTGAAAGCACAGCCACATAATCACACCTTGTGTGGACAAGCCAATTCCACAGTGCAAGTGTTACCAGTTAATATTTCTGCCTTTGCAATCTAAGATCTAAGGCATGTGAGGCAACCCAGCTCCTGCTAAAGTGCAGGTCATGGCTGCGGTGACTGGAGCCCTGCCACTGCATGAGAGACCCAGACTGAGCTTCGGGGCTGCCCGCTTTGGCCTGCCCCAAGTGCAGTTTTTGCAGGCACTTTGGAAGTGAGAGAATGGAAGTAAAAATAAATTTAAGATTTAAAGATATACCTCCTAAATATTCTCCTCTTTTGGCCACTAGAACAACTTACAACTCCCTAGAAGGTAGGCAGCATGAGAACCAGAACCAAGGGGGAGGGACGGAAGTTGAGGCAGTCCTTCTCATGGACTTCTCCTCCAGGGCTTTCCGTTCCAGGAATCTCAGCAAGCTGAAACCTGAACGTCTACCAAGGAGGGTGGAAGGGACTCTGGTGTTTCGGGCGTTTGCTGCCATGCTCACAGATATGGAGAGGAAGATCTCAGGATGCCTAAGCCTCTTATATAAAGTAGCAATAATAGCACTTTGGTATATAGTAGCACGTGCCATCCTGCTGTGTACTTGAAATTAGATCTAATTTGATACCTAATACCAGGTACACAATTTGTAAGTAGTTGTCATATTGTTTAGGGAGCAGTGATAAGAAAAAAGTCTGCATGTTCAGTACAGATGCATTTTCTTTTCAAGTATTTTCGCAACTGAGGCAGAGGAAGGGGGCAGCTCTAACCTTAAAGGAAGTGAGGCGTCCCACATGAAAACGAGATACACCGTCAGAGCTTTCATCTGAGATGTGGGAGTCTTTTTTTCCCATGGAAAGTTTTCTAACAAGGAGGAAACTGAAAGAAAAAGACAACCAGCTACGGCAGATTTAAAATCCTTTGGTCCTTAGTGGATGTGACACGAGAAGTGGGATGTGGGATGCCTAGATGTAGGGATCCACAGTTCAGCTAAGTGGAACCAGCATCCTCTGCTACGGGATTACCCTGCGGAGTACTGCTGAGCGATCAGCTCAGGTCTAGGTGTTGGGGCCACCTGGGGAATGAACCAGCAGATGGAAGATCTTTCTCTGTCTCTCTCTCTATAAATCTGCCTTTCCAATAAAAACAGGTAAATCTCTTTTTAAAAATTCAGCGAAGACAATATTTATAAGTATTTACAATGCCAACTAATAAGGCATCCACATCTTTTGTTTTATTGTATTTTTTTAAACTTACTTATTTTTATTAGAAAGTCAGATATATGGAGAGGAGAAAAGACAGAGAGGAAGATCTTCCATCCGTTGACTCACTCTCCAAGTGGTCGTAATGGCCAGAGCTGCACCGATCTGAAGTCAGCAGGAGCCAGTAGCCTCTCCTGGGTCTCCCATGTGGTTGCAGAGTCCCAAGCCTTTGGGCCATCCTCAACTGCTTTCCCAGGCCACATGCAGGGAGCTGGATGGGAGGCAGGGTTGCTAGGATTAGAATTGGCACCCATATGGGTTCCTGGTGCATTCAAGACAAGGACTTTAGCCGCTAGGCTAGCATGCCATACCCCTATTGTATCTTTTTTAATTCCTACAAATAAAAAGTGTTATTTATATTTCTGTATCTGACATACCACTTAGCACAATGATCTCCATTTTCCATCCATAATGTTACAAATGCCAGAATTCAAATTTTTATGGCTAAGTAATATTCCCTTATCTACATATACCCTATTTTCTTTCTTTATGCATCAATGGGCATCTAGGCTGATTCTCTGTGTTATGTTGCAATGAGCCTGGGAGCCATCCCACCTCTTTCATAGAGCAGGACTCATTTCCCTTTGGACCTATTCCCAGAAGTGGGAGAGCTGGGTCATGTAGCAGATCCATTTTTAGTTTTCTGGGGATTTTCTGCATTGTTTTCCACTAATTTTCATTGCCACCAGCAAGGTGTTGGGATACTGTTTCCCCTACAGTTTTGTCAGCTTTCACTGACTTCTTTTTGATAGTAGTCATTCTAACTGGAGTCAAATGACACCTCACTGTTGTTTTAACTTGCAACTCACTGATGGCTAATGAAAATGAGAATCCCCCCACCCAAGTGTTCATTAGCCATTTCCACATCTTTTGAAAACTTGAGGACAAATTTTGACTCATCACTTGAGGCTAAGAAAACAGTTGGATAAGTGTTATTTCTATGGCTCTGCCGATGTCTTGGTATCGTTCCTACCAATGAGTTTTCCTGTTATAGGATGTGACCTGAAATGGAAGAATTTAGAACATAAAACACCCAAGGCTGTGGCTAAAGATGGTGGCTTCAAAGCAGCAAGTAAAGAAATACGCCGAGCAGAGAGAATTGCTAATAAATTAGCCAAGCCGGGAGTCAAAAATCCTAATCCGCTCTGGGCGCTCAGGCTACACGACTGGTCCACAGAGCATGAGACTTTCCTTAGGGAAGGCTTCTCCTTTGTGGACCGGGGTGATGGGACGGTCAGCAAGGAGGATTTCGTGCTGGTGCTGGAGGAAAGACAAGATTTTGCCACCTCAGAGCAGTTGGCATCTATAGCCCAACTGCATGAAAAATCCCGCGGAGGGGGAGTCAACATTAACGAATTCTTTAAAGGAACCAGATACTTAAGCAAATCCTTCGTCTTGGGATCTTACGGGCCCAAGAAAAGGAAAAAGGGGATGGGCAGAAAGGGAAGGAAAGGCAAGTTTGTTTTACCTCTCCCCATTTGCTTCATACCCGAGTCTGCCTTTCCACGCCGGCCAGACGGTGGGCCGCCGTATTACATGATTGAAACCTACCAGAATGTCACTGATTACAGTCGGTTCAATCGAGATCATCCGCCAGAACATCCCATTCAGGATGACTCTGCTTGGTACATTGATGACCCATCAGCGGTGTTTGCCAATATTAACTTTATCACCAAGGCAGGGGACCTGGCCTCTCTGAAAAGAGCTTTTGAAGGAGGAATCCCCGTGGATATGAAGGACAATTGCTACAAAACACCTCTCATGACAGCCTGTGCAAGCGGAAACATAGATGTGGTCAAATTTCTTCTGGAAAAGGGGTAGGTGCTTGCTTAGATGAGCTCTGACAAACATCTTGCTCCAGGATTTTCGCCGTAGAACAAAGTGTTTCATCGCTGACATCCAAATAAACAGGATAAACAGATTTTTTTCTAGAAAACCAAGTGAATGGGACACAGGGTTGCAAGTGTATAGTTTGCCAGTAACGGTCATGTGCAAAATATCCTTAAAGGATTTTTAAAGATTTGCATATTTACTGAAAAGGTAGCAGAAGTGAGAGAAAGATCTTCATCTCCTGGATCACCACTCAAATGTCCATAAAAGCCAGAGCTGGGCCAGGCTGAAGCCAAAGGCCAGAAACTCCATCAGTGCCTTCCCCATGCAGTAGCACAGACTCAAGGATTTGGGCCATCTTTCATTGCCTCCTCAGGCACATAGGCAGGGGCAGGAAGTGTAGCAACCAAAACTTTACTGGCACTCCCACATGCGATGCTGGCATAATGAACAGCACCATAATCCATTGCTCGAAAATACAGGCCCTAAAAGCCAAGGCATTTTGATGGTGGGGCACAGGTTTGCTGCCTGGGCATCAGCAGTCTCCTTGTCAATGACAGGACATTCCGGATTCATTTCAGAACTTTAACCAGAGAGTGTGACATTGCTTTTTAACCCAACTTAAACAAATGGGGTATTGGCCATAATGACTACAATTTGGATCCAGGTAGGATGGTGTTTTCACTAGTTCATTTGTGAATATCATGAAAATATCAAAACATGACATTTTATTAATTTTTAAACTATTACAATTCCTGAGGCTTACTTCTACTGAACGCATCGTCTTAGCTGCAATTTTGTTCTTTGTGTTTTCAAATTTATTTACTTTTGAAAGGCAGATTTACAGAAAAAAAGGAGACAGAGAGAGGTCTTCTATCTACTTGTTCCCTCCCCAAAGGCAGCAAAGCCAGAGCTGAAGTGATCCAAAGCTGGGAGCCAGGAGCCTCTTCTAGGTCTCCCATGAGGATGCAGGGTCCCAAGGATCTGGACCATCCTCTGCTCCTTTCCCAGGCCATAAGCAGAGAGCTGGATCAGAAGTGGAGCAGCCGGAACATGAACCAGCGCCCTTGTGGGATGCTAATACCACAGGGTGGAGGATTAGCCTGTGGAGCCATGGCAATGGCCTCCAAGTTTGTTTTTTCTTTTTTTTTTTTCATATATCTCAATTTTTTCACTTACATGAAGATCCTAATGGGACTTGTCTCAAAGTTGTTGATGCAAGGAATTGAATATGTAAAATAATTACTAATACAGTAATGAACCTCTTTAGAAAATATACTAATATTAGCACTATAAAGAAACACAAATTTGTGTATTACCAAGAGAAGTATAAACCAACTAAGGAGCATTTTAACTTTGAGGCACTGAATTTCTACAAATGATTACAGCTTTAAATAATACATTGCAATGCTTAGAATTTCAATAATGAAGGCTCACTTAAAATTTTATGACATTCAGAAGAAATAGGCCTGAGATGAAACGAAATAACTTTCATTTCCTACTAGCTTTTCTCTTTTCTGAATTCAGTTTTTCCCTTTTGCTAATTTTAATATTTACAAAAAATGTTAATTCTTTACATCTAAGCACTTTTTAAAACACTAAATATGTGTACGCACAAAGAAACCCCAAACTGTCAAATAATGCAAAACAAAGTGCTTTTGAAAAAGACCATCATATGAACAATATTCAGAGCACCTGTGGTTCTCAATTTAGCAAGTTAATGACACTATTAAATCTGCATTTTAGCTTCCTGTGCTTAGAGCCACCCGTGTTTTTAATGTGTGCCTCTACGCTATCTTGTAGGGCTAATGTTAATGCCACCGATAATTTTCTATGGACTCCACTTCATTTTGCGTGCCATGCCGGGCAACAAGACATTGTTGAACTTCTGGTTAAATCGGGAGCATCGGTAGATGCTCTGTCCCTCAACAACTCAACTCCGTTAAGCAGAGCAATTGAAAGCTGTCGAATGGATACTGTAAAATATCTACTTGATATCGGTGCTAAATTCCAACTGGAAAATAGAAAAGGTACGTGTTCATATTATTGATAGCTAGCATTAAACAAAAAGAGTTTTCGATTCCAAACTCTTTCTAATCGTTTTCTTGTAGGATCCCATTTTCTCCTGGGTTCCTGGTACAAGCCTGAGTCCAACACTAGGGATGTTTGTCTTATAATGCAGGACCTCTGAAACCACTGGTACCGAAGGGCCAGTTCTTTATGTTAGGAGTCTGTCACTAATTGATACTTTTGTTATTCTGTAACACTGCAATACAATTTTCTAAACAATTTCTGGAGTCATTTCATTGTGGCTGTTAATTTGTGGTCTTGCATCCTTTTACACACTTTGAGTATCACTCTGTTGCAACTATGAATTTTTAAGTGGCATATTTTAACGACACTGTGAATGTTGGATTCCTCTTCTAACTATGCAAAGGGATTGCTGAACTGAGGTTTGCTTGACTCTGGGAAGTAAACAATGGCCTACCTTATGTGGGTCATAAACACCGCAAGGGAAGACTACCGTTTCATCTGCATGAATATCTGAGCTCCTCTGGCTCTGACAGAGCATAGTATCTCTGGCTGCTTCAGGCTGACTGAATCACAGGTTGTGTTGTGCCAGGTCTGCCTGGTCATGCTACAGTGTCACAAGTGACAACATCCTTAACGATCTGACTTGTACACCTGCGATTGCTTCTCCAGGCCTTTTTAAATTCCCATAGGTATAGTATGGGAGGAGGATGATGGAAAATTATCCCTTTAATGAAATGTGCACAATGTGGAGAGCAGGTCATCAACTGATCATTTAAAATGGCATCTACTAATATTTCCTATCTGCTTTAAAAGAAACACAGCCATGATGTTAGGAAATAATTTGTTTTCATGCCATTACCTGGCATTTTAAATTACAGGATTTCAAGTTGGGCCTACCATAGAGAATAGTGGCTCCAGCAAAATGAACCTATCATGGCAGATTAACGGATGGTATGCTGAAAATTTTTTGCATTTCTATCATTAATCTGTTTACTATAAATGAATTTGTGCTTATGTGTCAAACAGGGCACAGTGCTATGGATGTTGCAAAAGCATATGCTGATTATAGAATAATTGGCCTGATTAAAGAAAAGCTAGATAATTTACCAAAACCCACAGAAAATCCAAAAATGAAAGGCAAGCCACCTCCTAAACCCAAGACCGAAGGTGCTGAAATTAAGAAAGAAGAGGTAAGAAAAGAGATTGACTCATTTACAATTGAAATTCTTTTAAAAAGTTGGTGGCGCTGGCCATCAGCTGTGTTTATATATCATTACAAAAATGGAGAAAAACATACATATGCATACTTTGAGCACCATATCATATATATGTGTGTGTGTGTATATATATATATATGTATATACATATATATATAAATCTAGGAAAAAATGTCTTACTACTGAAAGTCTAAAAGATACTGCTTATAAACAGAACACACACAAAAACCAAATTGATTTGGCCAAATACAATAAGATGTTGAAAAAATAACTGAAATTGGACATGTAAATACTTAGAATTGAATTATACAAATGTGTTTAGATACTCCAAACAGAGAAGAGTAGCTCTTATGAGAAATGAAATAAACCATGATTTTCTTTCATTGAGGTCTCATAATCTTACACTGTCTACCTTTTTTATACCCAACCCCACTGAACTTTGGGACGTAAAACAACTTAAAACTTGGAATACTGAAAATGACTCCAAAAGCTTTCAAACATGTTGCCAGTCAAGTTGCCAGTTCTGGAAAAACAAAGTAGTTTAGGTACCTGTAAACAAAGCTAGTAGTGGAATGTCCAGACTACTGCCAATGGAGATAACTAAGTCCTCAGGACTTCGCCATTCTCCAGGAAGCCTTGGGTGTTTCCAGGCTGGCTGCTCTTGGTAGGAAAGCAGAAGATTCACAGGAAATCCCTGGCAGACAGAGGACAAGGTTGAAAATGGTGAGGCAGTACAGTTGGGAAAAATTGACAGGATGAAGAGATTGTAGGAAGAGGAGATCCTTATAAATATGAAAAAAATAAAAACACTGAGATGGAAAGACATGAAAGAAGACGAATTGGCTAAAGTTCCTACTACGTGCACCATTACAATTTTAATAGGATTCAATTGTCCTGATTAATGAATGGCCACAGGTCAAGGATGGATATCCTAAATATTTATGTGACCTGTCACTGATACTACTAATTAAGTAGAGTTTTAAAAAAAAAGCAAAGTAATATCTCTTCTTACCCAGTATTAATATTCTATCTTACCAAACTTATAACTTGTATAGTGACATTTTTAAGAGTTTCTTTCTGACTTCAGAATAAGGTATAGAAGAAATAATGTCAATTATGAATAGGTTTTTGCATTTTACTTTTTGCATTGTTTTCAGGAACTACTTACATCTGTTTATGCTGTTCCAACCATATTAGAGGAAAAGAAATTGCGTAAGGATAATGTGGTTCATCTCAATTCACTGATTACCAGTGGTCATACCAAGAAAGTGGATATCACATTCGTGCCCCGAAGGGTAAGCACTGTGGGACAGCTTCACAGCATTACACAAGCTCATGCTGACACTTTAACAGTGACTTTTTGTGCAGATCATCCAAGCAAATATCCCAAGCTTATCTTGCATGATTACTCTTTGTGAGTGTCCTTTCGCCAAGTCCTGATACTTTCAATTCCCAAGATCTGGTTCCTTTTCTCTCTGTTTCCATATGGACATTTGACTTTTTCTTGAAATACTTAAGACTTATTTCTGTTAATGATATCCCTGCAGCCATTGGTCATCAAGATCCAGATGCTTTTGTTGTTACTTCCCAGACCACACCCTTCCTCTCACTTGAGAATTTCACTAATCTCAAGATTGGATTCACCCAGTCTCCTGAAACATTTCCATGCCAAAGAGGCTGGAGACAAATTCAGGATTTTCAACGCCTGTCAAACCATGCAGAATAAACAGCTCCTTTCACTTTCTATTAAGAAAACATGCTTTGTTTAAACATAAAGGTAGTAAACCTGGATGACTTCTTAATTTTTTCACTTTCCTGCTTTGACATTCTAAAGGTGAACAACAGCTACCTTAAGGGCTATTGGCCAGATAAATGTAATGAAATAACATTTCAGATAGCCAACATCAGAAACAGGGATGTTAAGATGAGCACTAGTGGGATGTAGGAGGGGGGAAACAGTTTAAATGCATTTAGAAGCAAATTTGATAGTTTTAAGTTAAAATGTTCAAAATGCTTCTTCAAACTCTGGATTGAAAACGGATGGATGCTGACATACATGTGGACTGTGTTACTAATTGGGCTCCGGGTCTCACTATTTTAAGGTTTGGAGTCCTGAAGCCACGACAACCGAGTTGATCAGGAAAAGGGAACTACAGCGGGAGAGGTTTACATACGAGGTGGACTTCGACGATTTCATGATGCCATTCCAGAAGAACATCACGGAGAAAGCCCGGGCTTTGGAAGCTGCCTTGAAGACTTAATCCCAACTGTTACTTTTGGAGTAAATGCTTTGAGTCCCGTAAGAAGTTTTAGAGAAACTATTATCATCAATCAAAGTCAGAGCAATCCACACATTAAAAACATGTTACCAAATACTTCCTTTTGCATTAATAACTATACGTATGTTAATACTACAGAGAAGAAGATGTATTTCATTTAACAACATATAGCATTGAGTTCTGGATGAATCCCCCATTATGCTTTAACAATGCAGCAGAATATAGGTCATGTGAGTTGTAAGCATTACTGTCAAAAATTATAATTCATGTTCATTGAAGCTCGAATCACAATAGGGAAGATATAGAATCAACCCAGATGTCAACTACTGATGCTTGCATGAAAAATATGTGGTCTGTATGCACTATGGAATACTACTCGGCTATAAAAAAATAATGAAATTGTGTCTTTTGCAACAAAATAGATGCAACTGGAAACTACTACACTTAGTTAAATAAGCCACTCCTCAATCATCAAATATTGTATGTCTTCCCTGATTTGTGATGACAGAGTGTGTAAAAATGTAATGTATGTGACCAAAATGTGATTGTCATTTACAGCCCTTGTCTATGTTCTTGAGAAAACAGCGGGGTTTTTTTTAAGATTTTTTTTTTTTATTGGAAAGGCAGATATACAGAGAGGAGAGACAGAGAGGAAGATCCTCCGTCCGATGATTCACTCCCCAAGTGAGCACAACGGTCAATGCTATGCCGATCCGAAGCCAGGTCTCCCACACGGGTGCAGGGTCCCAAAGCTTTGGGCCGTCCTCAACTGCTTTCCCGGGCCACAGGCAGGGAGCTGGAAGGGAACTGGGGCCACCAGGATTAGAACAGGCGCCCATATGGGATCCCAGGTGTGCAAGGCGAGGACCTTAACCACTGCACCATCACACCAGGCCCCAATAGCGGGGTTGTTTTTCCCTAATTTCAACTTTTAAAATTTTTTACCTAGTGGAGTGTTAAGTCTGTGATTGTAAAATAAACTGAAAGTATGCCATTGTAAAAAAAAATCTTTTTAAGTAAGAAACAAAAGAGGAGAGAGTGTGGCAGTGTGGGTAGGAGTGATGATAGGGTGGGAGGTAACATTGTGTCCCTAAGTCTGTATATACAAAGTATATGAAATTTGTTCACCATATATAGATAAAATCATTTTCAACAATGTACCTGGTCCTGACGCAGCAGCCTACTGGCTGAAGTCCACACCTTGCCAGTGCAGGATTCCATATGGGTGCCAGTTTGTGTCCCGGCTGCTCTACTTTCCATCCAGTTCTCTGCTTTCAGCCTGGGAGGGCAGTAGAAGACAGCCCAAGGCCTTGGGACCCTGCACCCACATAGGAGACCCAGAGGAGTCCCCAGCTCCTGGCTTCGGATAGGCTCAGCTCTGGTCATTTGCAGCCACTTGGAGAGTGAACCAGTGGATGAAAGATCTTTCTCTCTGTCTCTCCTTCTTTCTGTAAATCTGACTTTCCAATAAAATAAGTAAATCTTAAACAACACCACCACCAACAACAATGTGTCTTAGAAACATTGGGTCAATTTTAATAGCTCTACACAGTGTCTTCACTGTAACCACATCCCCTCTTCATGGGACTACCATGCTCTCGGGCTCAGCTTTCACATGCCAGAGTGCTAGTGGAGATTGCAGAGTAGGGCAGGAGTGCCTGTGGATTTGCATCACCCTAGCCTAGAGACAACTCAGGACCAGCCGCTGGTCATGGCAGTGCACTGAAGCCCCACTCCCTCATGCCTCCAGGATGACTATAAAGTCCAGGCACATTCTCCCTGACTCCTAGATCATTCACTGCGATTAAGATCAAGTTTCCCCCAGTGATAATTCCTTTGACAGCATACCCTTCATTGCTGCCTTCCCTTCTCTGCCTCATTTTTCCCTACCTTTCTGATCTTTGTTGAGATGATCAAGGTTGCTTCTGGAAGGGCCTAAACTGAGTGAAACTCTTTAGGTCTGATACTGTGAGTCTCCTAGCAAAAATTTTGAAAATATAATCTCTTACCTTCTGTTTACTATAAATAAATATTTCCCTGTGAGTTTGCCTTTGAAGTGTTTTTGCAATTGAGAGGCTGTGCAAGTGCACAGATATGCCTATTTGTACAAACGTAACAGAAAATATGAGGATGGCTAGCTATTAAACGTAATTTTCCTTTAGGGCAAGTATGTTGAGGGCAGTAAAGAAGCAGGGACTTTAAAAATCACCATGAACCCTCAGGAGTGCCAACTTGGGTTCAGGCCTGGGTATGGAAAAGGGGGCCTGTGTGTATTTTTCCAGAAATATAGGACCAGTAAGACGGATGGATAGCTAGATAGAGAGGTAGACGGATAGACAGACAGTTCTACTGTAAATAGATGGATTGCATGATTTGGGCGGGGATGGGCAGCAGTTGGGGCACTGGCCAGGCAGATTCTAGGTTTGTAGGGTAGACTAGAACTATCTAGTTGAAAGCTTCTGGGCAGGAACTGGCCCTGAAGTTCACAGGCAGAATTTCTATATGGAAAGCTCCATTATGTTCTCACCCATAAATACATCAGTACCTCTGCTGAAGGGCATTCTTATATATAACCCCATGATTATACCTCTCTCCACTCATGTCACCCCAGTCCACTCCATCAAGAATCTCCTACTTGTTCACTACAATTCCTTCTCCTCAATCTGGACACTGCTGCCAGAGGAATCTTTACAAAAATGAAAAGTGACTTTCAGCACTAACCCAACTGCCTATACAAATGCTTTGAAAGCTTTCATTGTTCTTAATATCAATTATACATATAAACATGTCCTGCAATATCCCAGGTAGTCCAACCTGTACCTCCCATGCCAGTCTTCAAGCATTCTGCTGAGGAAAGTCTATTTTATGTCCCATATTCTTAACTTCCATTAGATTTTTACATTAAACTAGACCTTTGACTTACAAACAATTCTCTTTCCTCGCCCCCTTCTTCTTCACCTATTTAGTATTCATTCCTTTTTTATTTCTAACAAAAGTAAACACTTTACCAGGTGGGCTTCCCTCATCTTCCTCATCAGAATCTTTGAACTAAATCTGGCCTAAGCCTGTCTCTCTATTTGGGTGATAATTTCACCCAAAATACTCTACATAGAGTGAGCTGCACCCTACCCTGACCCATGAACAATGCAACATAACCCAAGTGTGCAACCATCTAAACAAGCAACTGAATCTCAGCCAATCAAAGCCATCGATCTTCTAGTCCATCGGTGTTGTTCTAGCCACTTCCGCTAATCAGAGTGCATGTCACTAGCTTTTATGTGGCCACAAATGTAGCTAGCACAAGTGGGTGGGTGGGGGGGTATGCAGAACCTTCTTAAGTGTGGAATGCTGCCTAATTCTAGAGTCTTTGGTCTTATTCCAAGAAACTTGCTAAATTTAACTCCTCTCACTTTTTTTCTTCTAAGAAACTGAATTCCCTTCACATATATTCTCACAGCAACATTCTTTGCAACTCTTACCACCCTCATGACTCCACCTTCACCTGTGTAATCATTCATTTGATGGAAAAGCCTATCACAATTGAGTGCTCCAAACTGCGGCACATGCTTTCCTGCCACATGGACAAGATGATAATGTAACCTAAATTCACACTATTTTTATAATAATAGAATACAGTGGTATGATATTTTTAGCCAAATCATATTCATATATATGTGCGTATTATAAGTGCTCAGTCTGATACTGTTCTGACAGCAATTCACCCCTGACTGGTTCCTACATCCAGTCTTGAGAATAAGACATTTTCTTCCTGTTGCCTCCCTTAACCCTCCTGGTTGCCATCAGTAACACAGCTATGTGGAACATTCCAGTCTTCTCCCACACGGCTTCCTGTATCACTGCCACCGGGAGAGGGGCTCCCTTACTCCACCCAGGGCCTCAGTAGGCACAGACATTGCCAATCATTGTTAAGAAGTGAAATGACTGCAAATCAGAAAGGCAAAGCAGTCTTAAGCACTCTTTGTACATGACCCTGTAACAATTCTTTTCCTTTCTGGAGAACAGAGTGATATGTCTGTCTGTCAGAATAAAAAACACGCTAGTCCTATGCCAGATATCAGCAGATAAATGTCCTGCAGCATTAAAATGCCTGTGTGATACTCATTCCTAAAAGTGCCATGTCTTCAGAACACACTGCCATTCATTTTCCTTTTTGAGTGAACTCGGAGAATTGAAGTATCATGAACTGGTTAGCGACAAAGTTGTTCCATAAAGTATCCCATATAGTTGTTGGCTTATATTCATTTGTGTGAGTAAGACAGCACAAAACACAAGAATAAAAGGTATTATCCAAGCCATTTAGTAAGAAATGTCTGAAAAATAATGTACTTATTGATTCAAACGCAGTCATTGGTTTAGCAATTTTCTGTATCATCCTGTGCACTTGTCACCTTGAATGGAGCAAAATGTTCTTGAACTTCTTTACACCTCATTTTAAAAATCAATAGTCAAAAAATAATATCCTTCAAGTTTTTGATTAAAAACAAAAGCAAAAAATTTTAGCAGTAAGGAGCTCACCTGAAGTCCTCACAGACTAAAAGCCATTTATTCATTCAAATATCCACTCATTTTAATATGTGTTGAGGGTCTGCTATTTTCCAATAGGCCTTTTGCTATAGGAAGTTGAACAGAGTAGTCAAGGCTTCCTTGTCTCTGGCCACCCCATTGCTACATAAAAGGAGATGGGCAGTGCTTTATCTAAAATACTTTATCTAAAAACAGAAAGCCACATTCCATTAAAAACCAACTGTATACATTTTTTTAATTTACCAAAGTGTTATGCTTTCCCTCAATAGTATCAGACAAGAGCTGAGCCAATTATCTGCATGTAGTTACTGGAAATGAGAAATAGATAAATTTTTAGATTTAACCTCAAATAAACCCATAATAAACAATCTGAAAAAAGAAAATATAAAGAAAATCTTTCTCTAAGACAATATTGTCCTTTTTCTTTCATTCTCGTGTTTTCTCCCAAACATGCTGGACCTATAAATATATACCTGTATAAATTATGACTAAGACTATTTTTACCACTTCACAGTAAATCTTTTGCTGAATATGTAGGATCTAAACCTCCAGTGTGTTATGCACGGAAGGATAATAGATGTGGTAGCAAAAACAGAAAACCACATTCCATTAAAAACCAACAACAAAATTCATAGTGGGACTCAAGCTCTGTTTCCAGCCTGAAAGTACTTTTGGCTTCCACAATATCTAAAACAATCCCACAGTTTTATGCTTTCCAGAGTCATAGTCACTTAGTTTAAAAGAATAACATCAAAATTTAAATTTTTTCCATGTATTCTCAAAATCACAGCTTA